AATATGTATAACAGACAAATTAGACATATCAAGCATATATACATCTCAAAGAACAGATAAGTGTGACTAATGAAACAAGGACTTAAAAAAACATTAAGAAAGCATCTTCTAATGTGGGGGGTGGGGAACATGTGTACTTTACTAGTGACTTGCTCAAATACTCCCACAGGAAAGGGTATTTTTATTCCAATGAATTGAGAATGAGCTCCTATACTTGGCTCAGTGAGTAGTAATATATAAATACAAAAATTCAACTGAATCACATCCAGGATGCATTCTTGGTATGCTTCCAAATAGAGTGAAAGAAATAATTATGTGGGTAAAGCTGAAGATTTCTGATAAAGTAAAATTATTATATTTTGCCATTTTAAAGTGCTTCTTGGACAATGACCAAAAGCTGATCAATCATATAAGCATATTCTAATATGTTGAAATCTTACAAACATTTTGATAAATATATGATTAACTTTATATAGAAATTCTTATAGGAATTTTAAATGTTTCCTTTTAAAAATGAAATACTAAAGATACAAATACTCATCTTCCCCCCCCTCAATAAAAATGGTATTTGCTTACAGGTGCTGGCATGGAACTAAATATGCAGATAAACAACAGCAATATGACAGGAGAAATGCTACAGTGTGTTTGGTTACATTTTTTTTTAAGATTTATTTATTTATGCATACAAGATCTGCGGCATAATCCAGAGGTACAGGGGGTGAGAGGATTCACCAGAGACAGAGTAGGGAGCAGAAAAGGCAGATTGACTGAAACATACTGCTGAGGGGAGCAATGGGCGAGACAGGAAAGGTCTGCTGCACTATGTGGGTCACCTCCCTGGACTGGGATCGAACTTGCACTGAAGCAGCTGTGGCTAGCTTCACAGTGCTGTGCTTTAAGCCACTCCGCCACCAGGGAGGGCACAGGCATGGCACATTCTGTCTAGAGCATGTGGAAATACCTGTGGAAATCCAGAATGCACAATATGGGTACAGGAGGAATATTATGTAGCAGGTAAGAAAATGCTCAATGTTAAAATCAAACCCTGAATGAAACATTACCACCATTTTTTCAACTGGTGAAATAGAAATTGGGGGTTACTGTTACCAACTTTTGTTTTCACTATTAGTAAAATGTAATGTCTTTAGGTCTCAGAATCTTTATCGATAAAGCAAGATGAGAAGAGCATATATTTGAAAGACCATATATTTTGTATTTTGGGGGTTCTTTTAATAGTTGTTTTTTTTAAGATTTATTTATTTGTACATACAAAACTGGGGTACAGGCTAGAGGCTCAGAGGCGGTGAGAGGCTTCGCCAGAGACAGAGTGGGGAGCAGAACAGGCAGATCCACGAAGTACACTGCTGAGGGGAGCAGCGGGTGGGTCACGAGAGGTCTGCACCGCCATGTGGTCACCTCCCGGGCAGGTGGGAATCGAACTCATGCTGAGATGGCTTTAGCTTCTCAGTGCTGTACTCTAACCTGCTGAGCCACCAGGGAGGGCCTTAATAGTTTCTTATTATCTGTATTGTAGAAATTTTATCTGTAGGTAACCTGCAAATTTACATAATTGGCCACAAGGGGGAGAACTGTAATTCTGAATTAAGCTATTCACTACATTATGAAATTATCTAAAAGTGTTTTGCAGTTTGAAGTTGGTAATATGCTATCTTACTACCACTTCCCTGTGGAAGTTGGAGGAATTTTATTTCTAGGGATAGTTTTAACTGAGTCGAAATGTGAATTTGTATTGCTAAAGTCACTAAATATAATTTTTTTGTATTAATAATTTTCTGTGAAGGAATCCAGATACTGCTTTAATTAAAATGAAGATAGAACACATTTTAAATTCACCCTGGAAGTCTTTTTCTTTCCAAATAACAGTACTTTAGTTATCCTTCAAGGAAACTATAACCTTCCTGAATGTCCTCGTGTGCTCTGAAGTAGGCATAAAATGAATGTGTCAGTCTATTGCTAAAGTACCCATATCAAACAAAAGGTTTAGAATGGTACTGGGTTCACCATTTAAATGTTAGGTGTTCATTGACTGTTGTACATAAGTGTATGTTATATGATCATTTAATGTTGAGTATTCAGTGTTAAACTACTGGTATTCAGTTTGGGTGAATCCCTGTACTCTGGCTATATATAAAGTTTTATTGTAAGGAAACTATAAATACTATTGGATTGGAAATTACCTCTTTAGTTTCCCTGAGGCTTAATGAGTTATTATTTTTGGATTTGATCAAAGTAAATCATACTCGTAAGGTCTGGCTATACCATCTCTGTATTTTATAATATATGCTGAAACATATATAACTAAATGTGTATTGTCTACTTTTAAAGACATGATATTAATGACCTACATAGAAATTTTAATAATAAAACTGTTACTGGAAACATGTTTGTGTCCCCCTTAGAGAAAATGTCTGTCACACTGTTTTCAGTATGTTCAATGAGAGCAGACCTTCCTTTGAGAATGAGAGCAATATCTAGCATATGTTTCCATGGACAAAAATTGAATATTAAGGTTAGCAATCAAGATGGAGTCTATATAATTTAGGGATGAAAAAATTTAAACTAGGCTAAACTATTTAAACTCCTTTAGATTTATAAACCCGATAGTTTATTTGCTATTAAAGACTCATGAAATGTTTCCAGCATTGTTATCACCAGGAACCCTGCCAAGGTGACTACAAGGAAGGGTAAATTTCATTTGAATAAATGCATTCTGTCATGTTCCCCTAAAATAACTAAGTATATAAGTAGCTCGATTTACTCATACTTTATTTTCCATTTATTTTCATAGTTAATAATTTGTGAATTTTTAAGTGTAAAGTAACAGTATTCTAAGTAAATAAAAATATTGTGTAGGCATTTAACTTCCTTTAAAAACAACTTTGATTTTTATTGTTTGTTTGCTTAATTTATTAATTTTCTATCCCACTCAGTATTTTATCATACCAGAAAGTATTATAGACTAGTAAAAAAACTCTGTTGTACAGTTTGGGGGATGCACATCTTACTACTATTTTGTAACTCAGTGATAGCACAGTGATTGACATGCTAGCAAATAATTACTACTTGATATTTAGTAAATACTAGGTACGAAGATTGAATAAATAAATAAATGTATCATAGTCTGTCTGTATCTATCTATCTATTTATCTATTAACTCACCATTCATCCATCTATCTATCCAGACATCCATCCATCCTTCTACCCTTCAAATTTCTCCCACTATATCTTCTAGACTTCTGCATAACCATTCACCCAAAACTTAGTGGCTTAAATCAATGACAGTATTTTAGGTTATTCATAGGCCTATATGTCAACAGAGTTTAGTGGGAACAGTTCATCTTCACTATTCAACACAGTGGCAGTTAAGCTGGTTTGAAATTCAAGGTTGACTAGAAGGCAGTTTGTAATCAGCTCACTTACTCACTCACTGTTGGCTAGGAACTCAAATGGGGATGGTATCTGAAAACCTGCTTAGTAAGTAAAAAAGGCTGAGAGAACAAGTAAGAAGTCATCTGTATGATTCCTGAATTCAGAAAACTAAACGTAAACTTTGTCAGTAATTCCAAAGCTCAAATATTCTGAATTATGTAATAAAGAATGTAGAGGTCACTATATAATTTAAGAATACAAAAGCTTTATAAAATGACCAGGAATTACACTATCTGAAGGCATTGTATTCTTCCATGCAAAACAATTTATCAAATACCTTACATTTGACAGATGTTTATCTGATGCTGTGGATATAGCAGGGTATACAGAAGATATGGTTCTTGCTATTTACAAAATTTATCTCTATATGATTCCACATAAGGTCAACAATTTGGTTATATGTGCATACTTCCTATAAAGCAATATATAATGTTCAGTTTCCATATAATCAATTTCTCCCTTCTTATACCTGAGATGAATGCTTTTTAGTGTAATTTAAATGCTCTAATTTGTTTAAGCAATTAAAAATATTAATATATTGACTACTTCAATTCTGTTTTCCCCAGATTGCTTCAATACCTTATGAAGGACATTGAATTTAATGGCAGAGATATTGTTATATCATTTCAATAGTTTATTTGTTTCAGTCTCTGGGGAAAAAAACCACAATTTCAGAATGCAATTCAAATTTTTCAAATTCAGATATTTTAGTAATTTGACAAGAGAATGAAAAGATCATTCCTGTTTTTTAATTTTATAATACAGATTTAAATACAGAATGGTGTGTGTCCCTTTTACAAATCCTGAAACTTTATTCAGTTTAGTAACAGGAGGAATGTGTGTTAGAAAAATTAACATTAAGAAGAGTTAAGAATGAGTTTATAAATATGATATTTTAATTTATTAAATATTAAACAACAAATATTAATCAGCAATATGTTATGTACTCTGAGCTCTTTACAAGACTTTAGGATGGCAGAGGAAAAACAATAGAAAAAGAAAGGAGAAAACAAATAAATGTCTGAATCAGACAGAATGCATTTAAACATATCAGATGATTTCGCTTATAAGTTGTACTACATAGAACCCGAACTAAAGGTCAGGAAAGGATTAAACTTACAAATAATTTCTCCTATTCTTAGGTCAGAAGCAACTCAGGATCCCATTTCCTCCCTAAAATTTGTATTTCCTGAACATAGGTTGCTGTTCTTTGTAGCAACACCCACATATAGGGTGCTGTAGAGAGAATGAATGAAAATTTAAATCGTTTGCTCTTTCCATTTATTTTTCTTCAAAAAAATTGATTTTATCAAAGTAATGTTAACATTTGAGAATTTATCATGCATTTATTAAACATTTCCACCTATTAAACTAATATTTTGAATTTAACATCAAACAGATCAATTTAAAATATTATGTTTAATACATTTCTTTTATGTGTAGTGCAATGTTTTGTCCCTTTTTTAATGAAAAGATTCAAGGTAAACATAGTTTTCTTTATTTAAGTAACAAGTTCCTTGGGAGATTTGACCACATCATCTCTATCAAGTCTAAAAACGGGAAGGAGCGGGCCATACAACCTCAGAATCCAGTGTGACATGTGTAGGCTTATTATACATGTTTATGAAAGTTTCTGGATCCATGAATTCCTCATATTTGCACAGGTACTTTATTATTTGTTCTGGGAGAATTAATTCAGGTATAAGTTGGTGCAAGTTATCTCCTGGCCCTTTAGTGCCCACTTTAACAGTCTTAAAAAGATAAAGTGCCAGTTTATGAGTTTGGGTGAGAAACTCTGTCATCACCTCCTCAAGGGACTGTGATTGTGTCACATCATCAAGATACATGACTGGCGCATTTATTACTGAAATGTGCCATTGCATGAAGAACCTTGTCGGGATGTTATGAGATACTACTATAATTTTCATTCTTTGGATAAAAAAATTGTCTTCCTTCTTCTTATGTTTAAGATACTCTAAAAGAATTCGGTAAAATGTACCACTGGACGTCTCAAGGATATGCAGAATAGAACTAGGATATAGGAGCAATATTCCTGTCACTAATTCTCCTAGGCGACGTTTTGAAATTAGCTGAAATATTTGTTCAAAGTAATCAGATACAACTTTTTTTTCTGTGTTTGCTGCTATCTCCGCCACTACAAACATCCTATGAATAAGGAATTTCTTCAGGTGTAGTCTTTGCTTCTCTTCAAGTAAATGCAAGTAATTGCCACGTGGAACTTGTGGTAGTAGAGGACATTCCGATGGACAAGGCTTTTTGCTGCTCTTTTGGCAATGGACTAAGCCGGACATAATAAGTACTATTATCCTTCAGATGACTCCAGTTTTTAGTTTTCCACAATATTAATATTTTCAGGATATCTCTTCAGTGATGAAATCTTACTTTCATTTTCTTCTTGAAAAAAAAAAAATACCCGTTTACTTAGTTTGCCACACGCTACTGTATTATCATAAACAATGTCTTTGAAATGAAAGAGAATGCTCAAAGAAGGGTTGGATTACAGAGGGTATTTTTTTTAAGTTAAAAAATGAAATAAATAATACATACTAGAAAAAAAATCTATGAATTAGAGCAGAGTGAACTTAGTTTACTGAAAACTTACTTTTGTTTACATAATTATTTTCTCCTTTAATGTTATAGTATATTTTATCTCTGAACCATTTAACAATCACACACACACAGAGAAAGATGATCTATTTTTATATTTATGAAAGGTAACTGTAAGGTTTATAATTTTGAGCATCATCTGTAGACATATATCTGCTGATAGTCATTGACAGTAACAGCATTAAAATGTCCTTATGTAATGGCAATTATAGATTTTTCTTGATTTGTGAAATTTTTAGGATAATTCCCTAATTTATTTTATGAATTTAGCTTGTCAATGAGTTTTTTTTTTTTTTTTAAATCTGGAGTTTTCTTAAGTCTTAATTGTCTTGTTTAACCTTTACTCAGTACAATACAAGTTAATAATGTTTGGATAAGAAGATTAAACTGTTTTTTTTTTTTTTTTGCCTTATCAACAAACCTCAAAAAAATGAGTTGTTATAGAAAACAAACAAACAAACAAAAATCTGTTTTTAACTTACTCTTTTTGAAAATCTTGTCTTCTCTCCAGATCAACATTACATTTCTTTTATTGTTCAAGTGCTTCTTTCTGTTACCTATCCTTGAAGTCCCAAGTACCCTCCATCACTCTTCCAACTGCCAGTGCCTTGGGCGCTGTGGGCTGTCCAGTGTTCTATTCTGGTTTCCATAATGTCTCAGTGAGTCAGAATGTCAGCAGTGTTAAAGGGCCAGAGTGTGCAAGCAAAATTTTTAACAGGGTTCTCAAATCTCAACATAACCATAGAAGAAATGAGGATTTCATTTCCAACGATATCTTTAGACAGGTGCCTTTGTAAGTCAGATGTGGAAATATCCATCTTTTTGTCCACAGTGAAAAGGAATGTAGTTTGCTAAAAATTCATAGACACTATCAACAATATCCCTAAGGTAAAGAGATACTTCTGCACTAATTGAAGACTGTAAGGACCCAAATCTGATTCTGTATAATGATGACTGTTATGAAAGTTCGTATACAGTTCAAGTTTTAATCTGAATTAAAGGTCTATTTTTAGACATACATCATTGATCTTAAAATTGCCTTTAAGTGAACTTTAAATCTTAATTTTAAAACAAGAATAGAAAATAACTATTTGATTTTCAAAAATTAATCTTTGAGTACTGTTTTCTTCCCTCCATCCCCCATGTTTGTTTTTTTTCCAGATTATTCTTCAGATTTTAGTAATATATCATGATAAATCATTCCATAAATTAGAGGTGAGGAGGTGACTTAATTATTTAATTGTTTGATATATACGAATTGACTATCATTCCTCAGTGTTTCATTTCATCATTGCCTGAAGTGCTACACTTTTTACAAAGGGACACAGAAACCTTGTCATCTGCCAGGCTTAGATTATTCTCACTCTCATTCTTTCATGTGCTTTGCACAGTGTGATTACATTGGCCACAGCATCCTTTTTTATGCCTTTTCTCCTCCCTTGGTCTCTGTGACTCTAAACTTCCCTGAATTTTTTTTCCAAATCTCTTTTGTGGCCTAGTCGAACTCCTTCTTACACCCAAATCTGGATAATGCCGAGGCTTTGTGCTCTATCTTGCTTGCTAATTCTGACCTGGGAGGTACATATCATATTTATTGCCAAATCTCTTGATTGACGTTGCTTATTAATCATGGAGTCTTTCCTGTAAACCCAATCTAATTTACTGATTCCTTAATTTAAAGCATCAACTAGTTCGCTTGGACTGACAAAAATGAAAAAAAATGCATTTCCATCCCAGTATTTTCTCTATAGACAACATTCTTGAATTATAATTTCATTTATAACTCATCCCCCTTGTATGTAGCTCAACCCTTTCAAATTTAAAATGACAACCTCTTAACTGTTATTTTCTTTATTAAACATATTCCTTTTAACAAATATCCCATTTGTATCTCAATTTGCATTTTGTTTTTAACTCTTATCCCCAGGCCAACATCCTTTGGTGTTATCTTTTCATGTTTCATAAAAACTACTCTCCAATTCAATTCTGTTAATGTTTACATTCACATTGAAATATATCAAGATATCTTGATTTTACACTGCCTCCTTTGTAGAACTAGCTCATTTTTTAGAGAGAGTTTTAAGCCACAGAGGTCTACAGATTTTCTTACCTCATCTATTCAACTAAAACCATGTTAACTATAAGAAAATTGGAATTATTGCTTTACAAACTTCATTTTACAAACATTTCCCTGAGACCTTCCTCTCAATAGAATGTTGTGAGTGGAAGCTTATGAACGATACCAGCCTGGTTTCTGGCACGCTTCCCATCCCCAGTGATGGACTGTACTAGAGACAAAGTGGGGACTTACACTAACTGCAGAGCTTGTTAGTATGAATGCTGGTCCAAGTCAGTGGCAGAATTATAAGATTTTGCTATTGAAAAACATGTACAAACGCAAATTACCCTTTTACACATAGATAAAATGACACCATTTTTTTCTTTATGAAACCATTCTTAGTACAGAACAGTGTTTCTCCCCCCTTTTCTTTTTTTTTTTTTTTTGCTACTCTAAAAAGAGACCACATGTGATTTCCTGCCATATTTGTTTCCATTTTTCTTCATATATTTTGGTTCTTCCACTAATAAGAAAATTAATCATTATAATACCCCATATAAGTCATGCAAAATATCAGCAAGATATTCCTTCTTCATAATGATAACCTAATTGGTGTTGTTTTAAAGCCTATTTACACATATGAAATTGTAATTTAAAAATCATCTGTAAGTTAAAAATCATCTGATGCTGACAACTTTGTGTGTTATAATGTAACACATTTAGAAACAATAGTTTTTACCCTGCATTTTCTCAATGTATATTTTCCACTGCTGGATAGATTTTCAGTTGTGGAGTTGCTGTCTTCTAAATTTAGTCATAGCTATCTGAAATACTTAAAGACAATTTACTTTATTTTCTTGCTTCAATCAACCATACTTTTAAGTGTCAAGAGTAAATTTTGAGCAAGTAGTAATAGAAACAACACAGTTTGGAGAGTTTTTGATTGGTATGTGTAATTACAATTGTATGCAGTCCTCTCAATGAACACTTCACATTTGAGTTTCCAGATGCCATAGTTCTTGTGTTTTATCCACTAAGGGAAAGTGACTCAAGCAGCATTTTTTTTTCTGACATTCCAGTGGGAAAGAGGCATAGTGATTTTCCTCCCAGTGTCATTTCTTTAGAGTAGATAGACACATTCAAATAACTGACAAGTGGCTGAACTTGGATTGAAATGTAAGATTCCAGAGGAATCTTTTTTTCAATTATTCTATCTATCCACCCTGTTACTCGACTTATTCCTAATAAATAAGGAACTTATAACTCATGTCAGGAAGTGTACTTATGTTTTATTCTCTGGAATCAAATGTTTCTGAAAAAACAAATTCCCAACTTACTTTTGTCTGTTTAAGAAAGGATTTAAAAAACTAAATACCATTTACTGGTTATTTTTGTTACGCTGTGCAGTAAATGCTTTTCACATATTAACTTAATATTTACAACAAACAGATAAATTTTTTGTCCAAAATTTATTGAAAAGTTTTGCTTTAACAAGAGGTATTTAAATACCTTGCACAGAGATATTTAAATACCTTGCACAAGCTTGAAAGAATCGGGCTATTTAACTCAGGCAAAGAGATTTATTACCTCTTCTCCATCCCCATCATTACAAAGTCACTTTTTGCTCCTCTTTAAGGTAAATTTCTCTGGAAATGGAAGATAGTTAATAGTTTGTATAAAGACAATTGAAAGAAAAAATCCTACATAATACATGTGATCTAAGGATAATCTTTCATTTTTACTCTCCCATGCTAGATATTTCCATACTTTCGATATGCCAGGTAAGATCTTCAGCATTATGAGAAACTCAAGCATGTAAAATCTCAGTCCCTAACATTAGTAGTTCAAAGCCTAATAGGGGTGAGATGTTCCTGAATCATAGGAGAGCAAGGTAAAAACATAACTAAATGTAAACATACGTAAAATATAAAACATGTGAAAGATGTGTTGGGTCATGGAAAATTTTCCCCATCCTATCTGGGTTCTTTAAGAGTGGGACAGATGAACAAATTATCATCAAATATTTGTAGGCTAAAAAGTCAAAATATAGTAACATATATATAGAAAATCTATGTGGTTGCAAGATCCAAAGAATAATGAAGAGGACCAGGACATTTATTACTTTTAGAGACCTGAGGCATCAAGGAGATAGAGGGAGGAACTTGACAAGATAGAAAAGGAAGAGGTGATCTTATCTCTACTCTTAAGAGGAAAGAATGAAATTCTTAGAGAGAGAAGATAGGTTCACTCTTAAATTTAAACCTAAGCCACATTTTTCTAGGTCACCAAAAAGGGAACAGTGATCACTTTTTTTTTTTAAGACTTATTTATTCGTACAGAACTGGGGTACAGGCCAGAGATGCGGAGGGTGAGAGGATTCACCAGGGACAGAGTGGGGAGCAGAGCAGGCAGATCCATGAAGTACCCTGCGGGTCAGGAGAGGTCTGCCATGCCATGTGGTCACCTCCGGGGCAGGCAGGAATCGAACTCATGTGGAAGTGGCTCAAGCTTCTTAGTGCTGTGCTTTAACCCGCTGCGCCACGAGGGAGGGCCAGTGATCACTTTTTTAATTAGGAAAGGAGAAAGACTCAGATAAGGACAAAAGATCCTCAGGGAGCCCCTTCC